AAAGTATTATAACAAAATGTGCAAAGAGCTAAAGGCAGAAAGTCAAAAGGGAAGAACTTGCTGGACATTTCTCAAGCTAAGAGAATTGAAAACTAAACTCAAGCCTTGAGTTGTAATACTGAAGGATGGTATTTGCAAAATCTTGAATGATCCAGGCAGCATCAAGAAGATGAAAGGAATACACAAAGTCACTGTGCAAAAAAGAATTGGCTGACAGAACAATTTCAGAAATATCATATGATCAAAATAGAGAAAGTTTAAAAGTGAACAATAGAAAAGGACAGAAAAGTCTAGAATTTGAAAATGAGGGAGGTAGAAGTGAGACAGTTCAACAAGGCATATCATTCAGGAGTTTGGATTATAAAATTGTATATTCTGATTGCCAGGCCCTTCATTTACTCCATTTGCCTGTTCTCTCTTCTCTTTTAGTTTGAATCCACTAACAGCTCTGAGGGATGAAGACTGTACAGCAGTGAGTTGAGTTGAGTTCATTGGAGAAAACTATCAAGAAGAATGAGTAAGTATTTTGTTCAAGATCTTGCGTTACTATAGTAAATATATTTGGACTCAGAAAATGAGTAGGCAGAGGGCACGTGACCAAAGAGAACGAGTGTGTATTTTAATGTCCGCCCTACCAATAACTGACTAATGTTAGGAAACAACTTTGAATAACTGAACTGTCTGTTTAAACTGGGAAATGGAAACACAAAACAAAAGCCCCAGAACTCTGGCTGTAGAATTAATTCTGCTTCAGGGCAACCCCATGTATTATAGCATGAAACTCCTCTGTAGAGTTTTCTTGATAATTATAGGGAGCTCTTTTGTCCTAATGGTAAGAAGTTGTCCTGCCATCCCAAAGGCAGGAAGTTCAAACCCAGGCAGCTACTCCTAGGGAGAAAGATGAGTAATTGCTTCCTTTGCATACAGTTTACAGCCTCTTAAAACGCACTGAAGGATTAGCTAGGAGTTAGTTCTAACTTGAGGACACATAGCAATAATAATAATCATCATTATCATCATCTTTTAAGGGAACCCTAGTGACAAAGCCCAAAGGAAGCTGTGCTGCTAACACAAAGGTGGCACCTCTCCGGCAGGTCAAGTCCACCAGGGACTTCAAGCACAGAAAGATAGGTAGTCTTTTCCTATGTGATTTATAGCCTCTGAAAATGTGCTGGACATCAGCTGTAAGTGAGCTCCAACTCAACAGCAGTGAGTGAGTGATCTTCATGAAAGCAGCTTTGAAAGTGTCCACTGGGTGGATGCAAACTGTCAATTTTTAGATTAGTAGTTAAGCACACAGTCAAACGCCTTTGCATAATCAATGAAACACAGATAGACATTCTTCTGGTATTCCAATATCCCTAGTACCATGACCCCTTCTAAACCCAGCCTGGACTTCTGGCAGTTCTCTGCTGATGTGCTTTTCCAGTCGTTTTTGGATAATCTTCAGTAGAATCT